CCTTGTGCACCAAAGATGATTGCGAACAAGGTTGAAATTGACAAGCTCAACGACTCTGATCAGCCTTAGACTGCTATTATCACTGTCGAGGAGAAGCAAAATCCATTCGGCCAATACACTAAAATCCAAAAGATGGTATTCAGCGATGAAAAGGTGAATTTAATTATCTATATTTGTTAGTTGTCATACTAATTTTCACCTCACATATTCATAATATTAATATTTGATTTATTATTGTAGGGTACTAAAGTAGAAGGTATTATATTCGGAATGGCCGTCAGCATCATGGGACCATGATTCCAGACGTGTAGAAAATACCGAGTCTCCAACGCACCTATCCGGTACATTAAACCAGAGTATAGGTCTCTTGGTCTTTCCAACTATAAGTCATTGGTATTGGGACGGTTGTTGAAAAGGCTAACGAACCTATTACTACTCTTGTGACCAAGGAGCAATACACGCCCTTTGATTCCCTTAATGATTTTGCTGGTGTTCAAGATGGTTTTGTTGGGAAGTGTATTTGTTTTACTTAAGCATTCTTATCAAATAGAAAACTTATATTGATCTATACTCTTTTAAACAATCTTTTTCTTACAGATGTTATTGGTGTCATAGTCAAGAGAAGCCACCCGCAAACTGTTATGATAGGAAAAGGGAAAAAAAGAATGATCCAGAAGTTTTGTAAGCTAAATGAAGAGTAAGTTCAATATAATTGCTTTTTGGAAATGCCTAATTTATTCTCCGTGAAGTTCCCATCAGAATTACAAGGATCATGCAGTTTTATGAGCTGCTTTCCATTTTGATAATCTGATTATTGTTGTCCTTTTGTGATTGTTTTCATGTACTATTGTTACACTTGTATGTTGCATCTCGTTTTCTAAAACAGTAGCAAAAGGTTTGCAAGATATTTAATTCAGAATACACCTCTTTGTTTTAGTTTACGGAATTTAATCATGATATTTTGGTAAAGTAGCTAACACTTAATTCCGGTACTGCCTTCTCAATCAGGTTTCAATATTTGAGATTGTCACTTTGGGAAGAATTCCACCAGGAAGTTGGAATATTATTAACTGAACAAGTTCAAGCTAAGAGTTACCCAACCGTCGTTTGCTGCCGGATGCTTATCCCTCCATACAACGGTACACTAATAAGCCCTTTTTAAAACAGACTCCTCAACCATACTTTTCTGCACACTTGTTCTCTAATAATTTAATTCTCATATTAATCAGGAATTGAGGTAACAACTTCACATAGATCGGTGGTTTCGATCAATCCTCCTTCTGATAAAGCAAGGAAATTGAGGAACTGGTATATATTTTTATTTTGCTACCCTAACTTTTATAAAATTTTTCAGCATATCAATTACCTTTTTAACTTTTTCAGGTCACAATAAAATAGGAAGGAAATCGATCTTTTCTTGCAGAATAAACCATCATTCTCGTCTACTCCTGGCATCAGTCACAAAAACCTTTCACAAATCACTCCAATCACACATATCGATGATGAACAACAGGTTAACACGCTTGGTTCCTAATACTCTTTATGCAACATGTATTAGTTCTGCTTATATTTCTTCATTCAAATTAACTAAGCTTTAAATTTTGCCAAAAAAAAATTAGGATATCTTAGTCAAAGTCCACGTTGAGTTCAGAGACATATCACAACCATTCTACTACATGGCTTGCAAGGAATGCGGCACTAGAACATCAGCAATCCATCAACAAGATTTCAAATGCAACAAGTGGTCATTAAAGCAATCTACAACCAATCCAAAGTATATCAATTTCAATTTCTTAAGATACAGTTCTGAAACATATGGAAATTTAGAAATATTATATATGACATTTTGGCCAATTAGATGATTTCGAAATATTCCTAAATCTTACTGTTGTCATTCTAGGTGTCGTCTAACATTCATGACGAGAGTGGATCAATCTAAGCTAGCATTTTCGGTAGCATCGTAGAAAAGATATTAGGTTTCACTGCAACAGATATCGTTGAGAACCCTGAAAAGGTATGTACATTCTTCGTTTCAGCTATTCAAGTTCCTAAACACGCATGTTTCAAAAATTCAATGTTTCCTTCCGTTATATATGCATTGAAAAATGACACGTCCTTAATATCTTATTTGTTTTTTTTAACAGATAAATCTTAAAGAAATACATGAGCTGTTAGAAAATAAAACATTTTTATTACAGCTGAGAGGATAAAAAAAAATGTACAGGGGGCTTCGAGATTACTACGTCAACAATTTAATTGAGGACGACGGTTCTTTTGTGACGCCATTGCTGATAACCGCCAGAGAGAGTGAACTCGCAGATGAAGTACCTGAGGACAACAACACTGAAGTTACGCCGATCAAACAAATAAGCGACCGACATGAGGTCAGTTTGACACTCAATTTATACCTTTGTTTTCCTCTGCATATCTCAAATACATTTTTTTAGTTTAATTCCCATCATATTAAACATGAACATTAATGTTTCTTTTTTTATAAACATACACGAAATATTTATAACATTTAATATTCTCTGAGTACACATTAGTAAGTCCAACAGAGAAATGTTTTTTAAAGTATTTTTAATTGCGATTTATATTACACAAGTATTAGTAAAGACTGGTCGCGCAACGCGCGACACTAAAAGACTAGTACTTAATATAAAGTCACAGTAGGCAAGAAATTAAATGCCCAAGAAATATTCAGGACCACCTTCAAAGCGATCTCGTCCGTCGGATGGTCTCGATATGACGTCAGCGACTTATTAGGGGTATAAACGGGACTTCATAAATCTCAATTTAAAAATTCCGTTGAATTTTGTCGTAAAAAACCCAACCTAATAAGAGATCTATTAGGTTAATAGGCAATTAAGAAAACACCAGAATAACAAAATTAGTCCCAGTACTGCAAACATTATTAATCCACATAAAGTCATTATGGGCGTCAATGACTAGTAATGACAGCAGAATGAGGCCATATTATGATTATGCCTAACATAAAATAATAGTTAGTAGGTGATTATTGTAATCACTGGATAGTTTCACATAATAGTTTGACATACCCAAAATGGGCAATACGGTCTAATCAGTAAAAAGCCAAAGAAATTAATAAACGGCGTCTCCTTCCCCTCATACATTTGAGAATTACCACTTCCCGATTTATTCTCCGGCCACCATCCCTCAGAAATCAGCCCACCACCGCGACCCATCACCACAACCCCGCCGTCGGCGTTCCCATGGACACCATGTCCTTCTGCACCACCCCCCGCCGTCTGCGTTCCCCTCCCCTCATTGATTGTGGGCATGGATTCAGCTCTGGCAACTCCGCCTGAAGATGAAGTTCATCAATGATTCGATTGTGGATGTGCCTTTAATTCCAGCAACTCTGGTTGAAGATGAAGTTCATCGAGCTTAGTTCAGATCCACAATGAAATGATACGAAAGCGCACGAATCAATGAGATGCAACCGCTTACTAAGTAGGTCCTGTAGTATTGCAAACGATGGATTCAAATTTCTAGATTCTCTGTGGTTTTGCTTGATTTAGGTACATTTTAATGATTTTTTTTTATGTGACTAAGAGTTGTGATTTCTTTTGCATTCTCTGAAGTGGGGTTTCAATATCTGTAGGGAGGGGGGACCCGAATCATCCACCCGCCTCGTTCCCACCGCCACCGCACCACCGCCGTCGGCTACTCCACCGACATCATGGTCTTGGGCCCTAGATTAATTTTGGCCCAACAATCAACAATTTTTTATTACCACCTTCGAACACGAATAGGAAATCACTAGGAAAATAAAATTACCAATTGTATTCCAAATCGGATTTACAATTGCAATCCGTTCTATAAAAACTCCAGCACAAATTAAACCATGACATCCTCCCTTCACAGCTTTGCGACTCTCGCAGAACCTCTTTTTACAGCTTTCCAACTTTGTAACTCCCCGATCGTAACAGGTAAATTTCTCCCTTTATAGTTTATGTTGTTGATCGAGTTTGAATGCGTTTGGTTGTGCTCAACTTAGATGCTCAATTGTAGCTTCGATTTGGTAGTGTTTGGCTTTTGGTTTTGCTCAACTGAGATGCTCAATTCCAGCTTCAATTTGCTAGCGTTTGCTTTTGCTCAACTGAATTGGTCAATTCCATTATCAATTTGTGTTTGGTCTATTCTCTTCCTAAATCTTACTATTGGCAATGCGTCCAGTAACTTCTGGAGTGATTTTTAATTGTTAAGTTCTTTGTTTTTGGGATTTCTCCCCTGTCCCTGGTTATGTTAATATTGGTCTCGATCATAAAGAATTTTGCTGTTTTTGAGTTGCATCATTGGGGTGATTTTGCTTCTTACCATTGGTTTATATGGACATAAGTTGATTGGCAATTTTGATTCTTTTCTGGTTGGTGAGATAGTGATATTGCAAGTTAGGCATAGGAAATTTTTTTTATTCTTTTATGCTTAGACTAATGTTATAAATTTTAGCCAAGAATAATGATATTGATTCATTGTTTTGAATGTTTAAATCATGAATACACTTACTGTTTGACGATAATAATATTGAAAACATGAACACTCTTACTGCTTGACTTTCACTATTGATTACAAACATTATTGTTGATGCTTATTGGTGAATGGTTCCAATCTAATATGCTTAGTATATTCTGTTCACATTGATATTTTTATTTAATCCTGCTGACATGAGTTTCACTTTTCAGGTTTATAGTCGTTCTTCGGATTCAATTATGCTTATTTTTTGGTTTGCCTGACTTTAAAGTGTTTTTAATATATGATGATTCTGCTAATTCTATTGTTACATTTAGTTCTGTTAAGTTGTGCATTTGGTAGGTTATATGATTTTCTCATTTAGTAATATCAGGCATGCTAAATATCGTACATTGCTTTTATCGAGTTATACTAAATGTTTCCTTATTGTTTCGTGAAAAGAGATTTCAGCTCATTTAAAGTGCAATATCGTGCATCTGCATCAAAAGGAATTTCTCCAAAACCAAATGGCTCCTCATGCACCAAAGATGATTGGCAACAAAGTTGAAATTGACAAGCTGAATGACTCTGATCAGCCTTGGAGTGTTGTTGTTATTGTCGAGGAGAAGCAAAATCCTTTTGGCAACTACACTAAAACCCAGAAGATGATATTCAGTGATGAAAAGGTGAATTAACTTTTCTATGTTTGATATTTGAGATACTAACATTGACATCCCCTGTTCACCATAGTAATGTTTGATTTACAACTGTAGGGTGCAAAAGTAGAAGCCATCATGTTTGGACAGGTTGTCGGCATCATGGCACCACGATTCCAGGCGTGCAAAAAATACCGCATCTCCAATGCACCTATCCGGTTCATAAAACCAGAGTATATGACTCCTGGTCTTACCAAACAATGGGTCATCAGTGTTGGGACGGTTGTTGAAGAGGTTAACGAACCAATTACTGCTCTTGTGACCAAAAAGCAATACACACCCTTTGATTCCCTCAATGAGTTTGTTGGTGTTCAAGATGGTTTTGTGGGTAATTATATCTGATTTTGTTCACCTAAAAAAATCCTACCAAAAAGTAAATTTATGTTCATCTATATCCTTTTTCAAAACCTTTTTGTTGCAGATGTTATTGGTGTCATCGTCGAGAGAAGCCACCCGCAAACTGTTACGACCTGAACTGGGAAAAAAAGAATGATCCAGAAATTATGTATGTTGAATGAAGAGTAAGTCCACCACAATGGTTTTCTAATTATCATATATATAATGTAGAAATACTATTTAAATAAAAAAATTCTCTCAGAATGCTCAACCCACTTTTGAATTCATTTACGTAATACCTTCACAATCAGGTTGCAATATGTGAGATTATCACTGTGGGAAGAATTCCACCAGGATGTCGGAACATTATTATCTGAACAAGTCCAAGCTAAGAGCTACCCAACCGTCGTTTGCCGCCGAATGCTTGTCTCCGCCTACAACGGTACACTAATAAGCCCTTTTCAAAACATACTTATCCACTACACTTTTTCTACACACTTGTTTAATGATTATTTACAAATCACCTTAATCAGGAATCGAGGTAACCACTTCACATAGATCGGTGGTCTTGATCAATCCTCCTTCTGACAATGCAAGGAAATTGAGAAACTGGTATGTATATAATTTCCCTTAAACAACATTGTTTTCAACTTTTGCAAAATTTCTCAACACCATATTAATTACGCGTATTAATCTTTTACAGGTCACAGCAAACCAAGATCAAAATCGATCTTTTCTTGCAGAATAAACCTTTATCCTCGTCTACCTCTCATATCAGCCACACAAACCTTTCCCACATCACTCCAATCACACATATTGATGACGAACAATAGGTTGGTACTTTTGGTTATTAATAATCTTTATGCAACCTGTTTTAGTTCATATATCCATCTATCTAAATTAGCTAACTTCTACACTTTGTCCGACAAAAATAAATAGGATATCTTGGTCAAAGTTCACGTTGAGTTTAGAGACATACCACAATCATTCTACTACATGGCTTGCAAGGAATGTGGCACTAGAACCACTGCAATCTATCAACAAGATTTCAAATGCAACAAATGTTCAGTGAAGCAATCAGCAACCAACCCAAAGTATGACAAATCAAATTTCTTAATATATTAGTTCTGAGCCATACATGCAAGTACAAAACATTTTGAAATCATATTGTTGTTATTGTAGGTGTCGTCTAAGAGCTAAGATTCATGACGAGACCGGATCAATCCAAGCTACCATTTTCGGTGATATCGCAGAAAAGATATTGGGTTTCACTGCAACAGAAATCGTAGAAACCCTACAAAGGTATACGTGTTCTTTTCCCCACTTTCTTTCCTTTATACTTGCATCGAAAAAATGACACATCCTTAATATCTTATTTTTTCTTCTAACAGATAAATCTTCAAGAAATACATGAGTTACTAGAGACCAAAACATTCCTATTTCACCTGAGAGGATCAAAAAGAATGTACAGAGGGCTTCGGGATTACTATGTTGTCAACTTAATTGAGGACAACGGTTCTTTTGTGACCCCATTACTAATACCCGCCAGAGACAGTGAACTCGCAGATGAACTTCCTGAGGAACCCACCACTGAAGTTATTTCGATCAAACAAATAGGCAACCGACATGAGGTCAGTTTGTCGCTAAATCAATAGCTCCTTTTGCCTCTGCATATCTTAAATCCACTTGTTTTCCTAAATTCTACAAAATTCTGGTTTTCCTCTTTGTGAAATAGAATGTTACGGTGAGAGTTTACATTGATTTCAAAGGCATACCTCAAATGTTTTACTATCTCTCTTGCAAAAACTGTGATGCGGGAACCTCACACATGTATAATACTCCATTCCAATGCACCATATGCAAAGTGAAACAATATGCAGACAACCCAAGGTACAAAAAAAACCATTTTCACATGCCTAATCTACACCACATTTTCAAAACAAATAACCAGAGATTTTAATTACTGCCTCAATTTTCCAGATGTCGCATAAGGTTGAACTGGCGTGATGATACAGATCACTTGCAAGCTAATGCGTTCGGTGTTATCGGAGAGAAATTCTTGGGTGTTACAGCAAAGGAGATGATTGAAGAGCGAGAAAAGGTATCACAATTACTCTGTCAACATTTCTTACTTTTGTTACTCTCCTTAATTTATAACAGCATGTATATGAATACTGATAGATCCCTGCATGTGGTAAACAATAACTAAGTCTCCTAATACTTTTCCACTACATATTTTTTATATATTTCAGTAAAACTAACCCTTCTCTCTCCCGATTCCATATTTTTATCTACATATTTCACATAAACTCACTCTTTTTATAACTCATGACATTTCCAGTTTGACATGAAAGCTATTGAACAAAAACTGGAACGCCAAAAATACATGATTCAGCTGAAACGGTGCAAAGTATTGTACGATGGCCATCGTGATTACGACATCGTCAGTTGTATGGAAGATGACACCCCAAATGTTGAGATGCATTTACTGTGCACCAAAATTGCTGCTCCTATAGCCTCTGACAAAGATGCTGACACTGCAGAAAGATCTTCAACTAATCAGATTGATGATAACTCTCCCTCTGACACCAACGAAGTTCCTGTCCCGCTGAAAAGGCCATATTCTCGAAGCAGCAAAGTAAAGAATCACAGTGAAGGCGTTGCTGACGATGTTCCTTTGAAGAGAGCAACCAAACGTAACAAGGAAGCATTGGTTTGAGATTATGGGTGAAATTTACTGACACTTAATGTTTGCCTTTATATAGATTTTTATTACTACTTTTAAGTTTAAAATAAGTAACAGATGTATTCATCTGTTCGTTCCTGTATTCTTTTAATTCAAATTAGTATATTATATCAGATTTTCCCCTATCTTTATATATATGCTCGTTTATCTTTAGTACAAATTTGAATATCATATTCATAAGATATTGAACATGCCGTTCATGATCACCATAACACTTGTTTGTGATATGGTATTGACCACAATCAGAAAGGTATTAGGAAGATATGTATCCTCAGTACTCTTTTACATTGTTCTAAGATATTTGGTCATACTTCTATTCTTTTTGCCTTATTTTTTCAATGGTTTTTTGCCTACGAAGAAGAAGAACAGATGCTTACGAAAAGAACATAAAGTTGTGCTCTCCTGGACCCTCCTTCTTGCTATATCTCCACCTTAGTATTCTCGGTGATCTGCAATCAGATGAAAATGAGCAAAACCTTTAATTCTGCAAAAGAGATTCCCCATTATGCCATTCTTCAAATCGAACGACAATTTACAAAATGCTAAAACAAAAGCAAAGGTCCAACTCAAGGCCACATCCCCAAGATAATTCAACTCTACTGAAATCAATAGATCTTCGCTTGAACGATATGGATGAGGTATGCTAAGTTGATCAATAAGATTTGTGAATGATAATTAGATACTAGACAGCTAATGATCAACAAATTGATATATTCTAATTTAAATTAATAATTCATAACTTGAAAGGCCATAATCCCACAAAGCCAAAATTAAATAATAATGGGTTGGCTACTCGTAAATTTGACACAGAACCCACCTATATACATTACAATGTGCATATTTAAATACTTTTATCAGTGGAAAGCATCATAATTGGATTTGAAAACAACATATCCCACCATCACATGGCAAGACATATCCTAGATTAAGAAGACTTCTGTTGCGAGCTGCTACAAGTGCATGTATTTAGTACCTATGGGAGGAACGAAACTTGAGGGTGTTTGAAAGCAAAGAAAGAAAGACAGAAGAAATCTTGAAAGTGAAACAGATGGAGCTGATACAGATTTCTGCACAAACTGAGAAAGAAGAGAGAAAGCACAGAAAATAGAATCCTCTCCCATCTATTTCCTTAAATTCTGTTTTGTCATCTAGATGAGTTTTGCACAGAAGCGATATAGGTAGTTTGTTGCGTTCTACTTTTGATTGAGGTTATAACCTTACAAATTTTGTGCAACAGTAAGTAGGGAGGCAAAATGATGTAAATGTACTCTCACTTTTGGTGATTTTGCATACACACGCAATATGGTCTAGATTTATGAGACAGAACCAACAAAGATGAAATGACTATGACTCAATAGGTTACCAAAAATGCATTATCACACAGAAAAAGAAACTCACACCAGACAACTTTGCAGGTTAAGCCTCTTTTACAACATAGAAATATATTAATTTGGCATACAACACCATTTTGTAGAAACCAACATTTGCCCAGACTCATTATTCCACTGACAAGAGTGCTAGAAACAAAAAACAACGTAAGAGTGCATTATAAATCTCAAAATTATGACCTTTACAGCCGACTAAAACAAAAAACCTAAAAATGTGCCGAACGTGGCCAATAAAACCCAACCGAGACATCAAACTTGTCCTCAAAAAGGGGAGGTTTCTTAACATCTCTATAGCATCCGCTAACAGGATCAAATATAATGTAATTGCTATAATCATAGCCACTCATAAGGAACTCTCCGCGAAATGATGCCTTAGGGCATAAAAACAACGTCCGCATCCAATTATGATCAAAAGGTGCTGGAAGAGGGGTCATCGGAATCCACATCTCCATAGACATAGGCATATAAGTGTTGAACTCCAAATTCCAGCCCCACGCATCTCCTGCATCACTAGTCCTAGGGAACCTCTTCCAAGACCAAATCTCAAAATGACGCTTCAGAAGAACGTAACCAGGATTAGCTACACAGAGAACCCCGTTAAGATCCAACAACACAACTCTTTTGTCCAGAGTATAATCCTGAGCGCTCCATGAAGCCCCTTCAGGTGCACAAATAATTTCAAACCTCTGATCAGATATGTCAAATGAAACTAGAATCTCCTCTTCTGAAAATCCCTTCACATCTTTATTCAAATACCTATCTACCGGCATATAAGCATGTCGACCAATCACCAAACCGTTATCAACAGAACGTGGACAATGGCCAGCGACATCCCGCCACACTTTCTTACGAGGACTTAATTTCTCATTGAACCTCCAACTCATCATCCTCGCCTCCATAGTACGATCCCAAAGCATGTGCAATATAAGTACCACGTACTCTCCCATCCAAGACGATAAACCAAAATTGAAAGACCAATACACATAATCTTTATTACCCTTAGAAATAAATGGTTCTAGCAACTTCCGCACTCTTCCAGTAGTTGGATTCAATACCTTCATTGTATACGCCATTTGCAATCCAATTAGGTCGCAAGTTATAGGTAACACACGATGGACCCTACGCTCACAGATAAACACACGCATCTGTTCGTTAATGATTGTAACCTCATTGTCCATTCTGGATAGAACATTGAACTCCATAGGATTAACATATGGCGACTGGGATGTTTTTTGACATATGAACAATATGTTCGCATTGCTCGACACCAAATAGGAATCTCGCATCACCAGCATCTCAGGATCATTGCACAAAATATCCTTCCACCGTTTTGAAACATGCATACACCTACGAATACTAATCACATCAAGCTTTTTGAAGATTTCAATAGCCAATTCGTTTGGAATGTTATCAAAAGAAAGGTCCAACTCCAAGAAGCACCAAAGTCGCCGCCTGAAACGATTTCCTTCCATTCCGAAAGTCCTTGTCGACACTACGAATCCAACAAACCGAAACTAAACTAAGAAAAAAACCAGAAAAAAACAACAGAACGGAAGTATTGATTACCCAAGAAATAGTCTGAAATAAAAGGTCATAAAACGCGTGCCAAATAGTCTGAAAAAAAAAAATTTGTGACCTTTTGCTTATGAAACTCAAGGACGAAAATTTGAGAACTATTTGTTGAGCTCAAAAAAAAAAAAAACTAAAGAAGATTAAAAATTATTGAACTACTACTGCCTATTTATTAAAAAAAAAACATATACATTGAAATTAGCCCACGTAAAAACTCCCAAATTATATTCGGTGCAAGCCCAATTTTATTAACATTTGAATTAAATTTCGCCAACTTTTGCAAACGATTGTATAATTGTAGTCTGTTTAGGAAAATTTCCCAAATCCAACACGGATTAGAACAGATTGCAGCTAGCAATGAGGATTCTTCTCTAACTTCCCTATAGACTACTTCGACGACAGACTGAGGTAATCAATACATCGATAAAATTTGTAATTTTAAATTCTTTTTTGGGAGCATCGGTTTTTGATCTTTTAACTCTACTTTCTTTCTTCTTCAAGATTTTTAATTGTCAAGTATGCAGAATAATTTTTGGGAGCATCAATACAGATTCTTTACTGCTTAGATTTTTGACCGCCAATTCCACAACAGAGCAGAAGCAAAAGAACCAATAATGAACCAATGACGATTGAAGAATAACTACAATAAACACATAATAACAATTACTAAGTTTGCATGGGAGATGGCCTTGGTGAAGATTGCAGTTTGCATGATTAATATCAGAGTTTCCATCCCATGCAAACAAGATGCACAAAGTGGCAAGAAAAATGAGTGCCTTTCCTTTTTTCCGTTTAGTTTCTGCATGTGAAACCGGGCGGATCAGCAGGTAACTAACCAATATGTTCCCTCAAACATCAAGTCACGCCAATTCTAAAAGCTAATTTGTGAATTGCCAAGTTTTCTTTATTGTACTGACTCTCAACTTTGATTTTCGTAGTACCATGAACTTTGATCTTGTTGACACCAAAAAATATATAAAAATAAAGAGAATGCATCACTTATTCATAGAAGAAGAATCTTAAAGGCACATCCCATTCATCTATCAGGCCAGTATTTCGACAGACATTCGAACGAATTGGATTAGTACCACCATTTTTCTTATTCATTTTCCATCATAAAAAGAAAATGAAACAATGAGGTCACAAGTCGAGCCAAAACCAGAAAAACCAGAGCAATGAGCTCACATCCAAATCTAACTTCCGTAAGTACAAATTTGAAACTGACCAGGAATGGCAACAATTCAAAAACCAGAAATTCCACAAACACATATTAAAAACCAATAATTAAAAATACAACGACACATTAAATTCATGTCCTTTTTCCAAACAAACACAAAACTAAATTTTCTTCAAACGCGGCCAATAAAACCCAACCGAAAGCTCATACAAATCTTCGAGATAACGAGGTTTCGCCATGATTCTATGACATTGTTTAGCTGGATCAAATATAATATACTGATTGTAGTCAAAGCCACTTAAAAGAAATTCCCCACGAGCGGACGTCTTACAGCATAAAAAGAAACACCGAATCCAATTACGCTCAAAAGGAGCTGAAAGAGGAGTTATCGGCAACCCCTCAGGTGTACAAAATGACATATAAGTATTGAACTCCATATTCCAACACCATACATCAACTTCACCGTTGCCGTCACCCTTCTTTTTCCAAGACCAAATTTCAAAATAACGTTTAACAATAATGTACCAAGGATTTGTAATACAAAGCAACCCATTAAGATCCAAAAGCACAAGATCTTTGTCCACACCACAATCCTTAGCGTTCCATGACGCACCACCAGGTCCATAAATAATTTCAAACTTTTGCTGACATATATCAAAAGACACCAACTCCTCATCTTCTGTAAAACCCTCCACCCCATAGTTTGAGCTTTTACAAATCGGTAAATAAACATATCGATCCACCACTATTCCGCTATTGACGACATGTGGACAACGATCACATACGTCTTTCCACGCTCTCTTTTTAGAAGTTAATACCTCATTGAGCCTCCAATTCAACATCCTCCCTTCCATTGTTTGGTCGCGAAGCATACGCAAGATAAACACCACATATTCATCTATACCAGGTGCAAAACCAAAATTGAAAGACCAAAACACATAATCAATAACACTCTTTGCATCAAACGGTTGCGACAACTCCCGAACTTCTCCGGTTGTAGGATTCAATATCCGAACAGTATATGCCGTCCGCAAAGCCACCAAATCACATGTAATCGGCATCACAAGACGAATATCATCGTGATGAATATAAGCATGCATCCTTTTGTTGATGAACGACACTTCATTATTTTTTGTAGACACCACGTTGAACTTTATCAAATTAATATCTGATTCCTTACTTGTTGCTTGACACACAAACAATATATCACAATGACTTGAAACTAAATGAGTTTCGCGTAGCATCAACATCGTCTGATTACCCGTAAGAATTTTGTTCCACAACTTCGAAACAAGTCTACACGTTCCAATGCTAATTGCATCAAGCTTTTTGAAAATTTCAAGTTGCAAATCCCTTGGAATGGCATTAAAATAGCAACAAAAATCCTGGGGCCAACAACGCCAACCGCTACTACGATGTTGTTTCATCAGATAAATCCTTCTTATTTCCCTACAAAAACCACAATTTAAAAAAAAATACCAAAAAAAAAAACAAAACAAAATCAGATGATCACTAAATATTTAAAATCAATCTGAACCAAAGATGGGCCTATGATCATTATTTAGTAGGCATTGTTTTGGAAAGCAAAGATTAAGACAGATGGAGGAGGATCCATCTGAACCAAAATGAGACAGAACCAAAACAATACTATAAGACACCATTTTTTAAAAAAACAAACCCAAAGAATTAAAACGAAAAAAATTAATAAATCCTCTTCCTTTTTCTAAACCAAGATTAAGCATTTAAAAATTACGGTCTTGGGAAACTGAACGTGATAGCCCAACATGCTTACTTCTGAGATCGAGAGAGAGTAGCGGCACCGAGAAAATTAGCCTGCTGCATCTCAACATCACTGAGCTGCAGATTGCGATCCATCACGATAATGAGAAGAACGTCCAGAACAATGAAAACGTACCACCGATAATCTATTGTGCCACTTGACAAAATTATTTAGTTGCAGACTTCCCGGTGCTCTTCATAAACTTCTCAGCAACAAACGAAACGTCGGAAGGAAGAATTCTTTAGAAAAATTGAAATACTCAATAGAGGTGTGCTTAATTGTTTAAAAAAATTAATACGTAATTGTAAGAAGAATTTGTCGGGACGTTGGTGTTTATAGACAAGATTTCCTGATTATAATACAATTACAGGAATACACCAACAATTGCCAAAAACCTTGGTATTTTACCATATAATTTTTACACATATATCTACAAACTATTTACCTCTACAATTGTCGCGAAGGAAAAAATAAATTACAATACATGAGCCTGAAATCCTCCTTTCTCTATCTAATATATTAACCCAAATATAAAAGGTAATAACAATAATCACGCCAATAATACGATACAACATCTTTATTTTTTACTCGTTGATTTGGAATTTTGATTCTTTTTTAAAAAAAAATCAAAGGAATTTTATTTCTTTAATTGATAGTACAATCACCATGTGTATTTGCATCTAACCAAAAAGTAGTAATTAAAAATTCTATCTTGACCAAAAGAAAAAAAAAAGGGTAAACTAAACATATCAATATACTAAGCCAACGCAAAATACATATGTAATACTAATCCAATTATGAAAAGGGAATCATGGCAGTCATCCTTGCTCTATATATAGCACACGCAAAAAAATTTAGTTAAACACTTTAAGTTTCAACGCTGAACAATTAGCAACACCCCTAAAAAGGTAATTTTTACATCCTTTCAAAGTGTTCTTATTTTCATTAATCTCCCCGTATTATTCTGAAGTGCAGTTCTCAGGTCTGTCAGTTATTAGATGCATGAATATCTATGAAACAGAAGAAATAATTTCAAGTTTAGAAGCTTCAATCCGGCAAAGGGAAAAAAATTGTGGTAAGACAAACAACATCTTCTCTTAGTTTTGCGTTTTTTTTTCAAGCTTCTTCTTTGCTTGTTTAGTTTGAATTTTTATGTTCTTTAATATTTTTCTGTTTGATCTTAGTATTTTTCATTGTTGGTAGTTTATTGCTCTGTTTGGGGAGACGGTTTCATAGCGTATTATTCTTATGCATTTTGTGTTTCAGTTTGATGCTTTGTTATCAACTCAAACCAGCGAATAATAGAAAATAACTTAATTTCTTTCATAATTTGTGTATAATTTCAAAATTATAAGCCTAATCTATTCATGTTTACAATCTCACGTACTTATTTTATTCAATTTCAAATATGGTGATTGAATTTATGTATTAGTCATAGTTTTGGGATGAAATCTGTTATCCAACAGATTAAGTCATTATTTGGTAATTAGATTTGATTATATTTTTTAAAAAAATATTTATAAAATATTTTGGGGCATCATTTGGTGATCATTATTAATTAATAAATTGTGCAATGACTTCCGGCTTAAACAATTTTGGTTCAAATACTTTTTGGCTTTGTTATTGACAAAAATAAACATCCAGGGCTTGTTTTTAGTTTTTACTTTCATGATTTTTTAATTCGATTTTACTTTTCGCATCACCCAATACACATTAAGCTCCACGTATCATTAAGTTGAGTGCCTAGAATTGTTATCTTATACTATTTTGTTCACCATGCATGAAGGAGTTTGGATTTTGTATATTTAAACTCTTACAATGATTAATACTGTTCATCATGAACATAATGTTTGAAGCTTTTGTATATATAATAAGGATGCCACCGCTTCAAATAATAATGCAATTGGATTTTAATTGATCATTTCAAACTTATGTGTATGCACTTGTTTCACTTCGCAAACACCTTCATCAGAACAATCCATGGACAGCAACACCATTCGCCGTAACAAACGTGCTACAGAAACTCCGGCAGAAAAAGCATGTAGATTGTTGAAACGTCGGACTACAAAGCAATCAAATAAACTCCCAACTTCTGAAGATGGCCAACCGAATTCAACTTCCACCGTCACAAAAAGGAAGTACGTCAGAAAAGCACCTCTCGGTCACGTCGAAACGGATATTTGGGAACCTTCAAATCCAGTAACTTCCAACGGAGTTCAAGATCATGTAAGTTCGACCCATGAGATGAATCAAAACAAGAATGCGCAGACTAATAGTACTATGGACACCACCGCGACCGAACCACTGCCCATGATAGCAAACAAAGGCTCTCAACAATCCTATGCACCAGCTACTACAACAAATCGTGGTCGAGGACGTCCAAGGGGGTCAAGAAATGCGACCATTAAACCTAACAAACGTCCCGCCGCAACGTCTCCAACCGAACCAGTACCAATGCCTCGGCCTCGTGGACGTCCAAAAGGTTCGAAGAACAAGAAACAGCCATGTGAAACCAACAAGGGCAAAGAACATGCCGCAGTCGTCGATGTACCCTCGTGCAAGCCGGGCCGCCCAAAGGGTTCAAAAAGCTCCAACATTTTGCCGAGAAAGCGCCCCGTTGAAACGATCCCCACCGAACTTCTACACCTTCCTCACGCACCCAAATGCGAGCACTGCGGCGCCCACGGGTTCTACAAGGAACCTCCCAATTTCTGTTGTGGCGGTGGAAAGATCTCGCTCCAGTTGTCCGAAATGCCAGAGGACCTGGTCGAACTGTTCACCGGGACGGACGAAGCTTCAGTTCAATTCAGAAAAGAAGTAAGGAGCTACAACAACAACCTCGCCTTCACATCGCTCGGCGCAAACTACGACCGCGAACTGGTCAAGAACATCAAAGGTGTCTACACATTCAAGGTAAACAGTCAGGTGTACCACTATCTCCACAGCCTAAAGCCTGGAGAAGGGAAAAACCCGAGAGGAATCCAGCTATATTTCTATGACTCAGAGGAAGAGCTAAAGGCACGGCTCAGCCAACCGCACAACAGGATGGCCGAGGAAACATTATCTCGCCTGATGGACATACTGAAAAACAACCCATACTGGAAGTTCCTAAAAGACCTAAGAGACGAGCCGAACCTCGACAGTAAAATCATCGTCCTCAACACGAGCCCTGTACTGGACCAGAGAAAATACAACCCGCCAAAGTCAACCGAAGTGGCAGCTATATTCACCAACACATCGAGCGTGGCGGTGGACAAGTCAGTACACATCCAGATATACGACAAGTTTAACAAGAAATACCGCATAAAACACTTCGCGGGCTGCTACAACACGTTGATGTACCCCTTGCTCTTCCCTGCAGGAGATACCGGCTGGCATAACGGCATCGAAAAAAATCCCAAGAAGCAGAAGCGTTCCATAGGCGCCACGCCGGCTAATTCCCTACCACCCGACATCGACACAGCTGCCAAATTAGTCGCCCTAGAGAATAAAGGTACGTCCCCAATGCATTTTTATTTCTCGATCCAGTACTCAACTACAGAAACAAAATAGAGAAGAACTAACAAAACTCATTGTTCAATTAACAGTCGCAAGTAAAAAATGCTCTCCCAGAACAACTGTTACGGCCAGGGAATACTACTGCTACAAACTGCAAATCCGAGAAGACGACAAGTCAATGATACTCCACACATTCAGACTCCTACAGTAGTACGTCATCGATTTGTACGTGAAGATCGAGACATCCAGGCTAGAGTTCCACCGGAACAACAAGGACACGATCAGAACAGAAATCTTACAGGGAGTCTTGGACAGCCTGGCATCAGGCGAGACGGAGGGAGATAACGTGGGGAAAAAGTCCTACATCCCGGGATCATTCATCGGCGGCCCCAGGGACATGAGACGCAGGTACCTCGATGTGATGGCACTCGTACAAAAGTATGGAAAGCCGGACATCTTCATTACAATGACATGCAACCTTACTGGCCAGAGATCACAGAGCAACTGAAATTCGGCGAGAAGCCGAAAGAGAGGCCAGACCTCCTCTCGCGGGTGTTCAACGCGAAACTAGAGCTATTGAAGAGGGAACTATTCCAGAAAAAATTATTCGGGTACATCGCCGCGTGCGTGTACGTCATAGAGTACCAGAAAAGAGGCATGCCGCACTGCCACCTCATGCTCATACTTGAGCCCGGTTCAAAGCCACTGAATGACACCGCATACGACAGGATCGTTTGCGCAGAGCTGCCCGACAAAGAAAAATATCCGCACCTGTACAAAACGGTCGTGCAACACATGATGCACGGTCCCTGCGGCAAGATGAACGAGAAATGCACATGCATGAGAGACGCCAAGTGCAAGAACAAGTTCCCAAAGCCCTATGTCGAGCACACCACCCACTCGGACGAAGGGTACCCAAACTACCGGAGGAGGGAAGACAGCAAGGAAATCTAGGTCCGAAACCACCGTCTCAACAACCAGTGGGTTGCCCCGTACAACCCGTACCTCCTAGCCTAATCGACTGCCACATGAATGTCGAGATATGCTCCACAGTAAAGCTGGTTAAATACATGTACAAATACATCTACAAGGGCCACGACGCCGTCTCATACAACATAATCAACAACTCCAAGGATGAAATCACAGAGTACCTCAAGGGCCGTTGGATCGCGCCCCCCGAAGCGATGTGGAGGATATTCAAGTTCAACATGTACTACATGAACCCGTCCGTGTGCCTGCTGCAGATACACCTAGAGGCCATCAGGTCGTCTCTTTCTACAACTACACAGACCTCTGCGATCTTCCTCACAACCCCAGTATCACGCAAACCATGCTCACAGAATTCTTCGCGATGAACAGGAGGAACCCGAAGGCCCAGGAACTCAATCTCATATACAAGGATTTCCCCCAGCACTTCGTGTGGAACAAGCAAGGAAAGATATGGACAGAGAGAAAACAAGGCACAATGATAGGAAGGATGGTGACCGTCAGTCCAAAAGACAATGAGCGATACTACTTGCGGCTGTTACTCTCGCACGTTCGGTGTCCCAAGTCCTTCGAGGATCTCCGAACCGTATACGGCCGTGAATACCCCACATACAGAGAGGCCACCTTGGCGCTAGGGATCTTGAAATCGGACGCATACATAGAAGAAACAATGGAAGAGGCATCCATCAGCGAGCTGCCGAAAGCTATGCGCTGTCTGTTCGCCATCCTGCTCATCTGGTGTTCGCCGGACGACCCCAAGAAACTGTGGCACAAATACAAGGACTACCTGTCCAACGACATCAGCTGGGAGTACAAACAACGACACCGAGTAACACAGACGTTTATTGAGAAGAAGACCCTCAAAGAAATAAACATCTACGTGATGCAGATGGGAAAAGACCTAACAGATTTTGGTTTCGGCCCATCAGAGTTCGACGACGGCGACGCATCTACAACAACTAGAGAAGATGAAGCAGAGAAGAATTTCAAAGTCGCAACCGAAGACCTAACGCTCCACAAACAGCTCAACGCCGACCAGAAGAAGGCATACGACACGATCCTCAAAGCGATCTCGTCCAACACCGGCCGCCCATTTTTCCTAGACGGCCCAGGAGGGACCGGGAAAACCTTCCTGTACCGGGCCCTCCCAGCAGCAGTGAGGTCAAAAAATGACGTGGCGCTCGCAGTCGCGACATCAGGGGTTGCAGCGTCAGCCTTGCCAGGCGGACGTACAGCACACAATCGTTTTAAAATCCCAGTGAACGACGACGAGGCCTCCACGTGCCAGGTCAGCAAGCAAAGTAGCGTGGCGAGACTGATCATCGACTCCAAACTGATCGTCTGGGACGAGGCCTCGATGGCAAGAAAGACGAGCCTCGAGTCGTTCGATGCGCTAATGCGCGACCTGATGGGAAACGAACTGTCCTTCGGCGGCAAGGTGGTGGTCTTCGGTGGCGACTTTCGGCAGACACTCCCAGTCATCAAGAATGCTTCTAAGGATGAGATGATCGAGTCTTCCATACTCAATTCTCTCCTATGGCCAAGTATACAAAAGCTGAAGCTCACAACCAACATGCGAGCTGTGCTGAATCCGTATTTCTCCTCCTTCCTTCTCAGAGTCGGCGAGGGAACAGAACCGGTGGACGAATCATCCCAGATAGAGCTGCCAAGAGAGTTCATGATACCTTACGACAACAAGGAAAGTTCACTGAACAGGTTCGCTGCGAAGACCCAGAATAATTTATCCTTCCTAAATTAGATCCTTATTCCCTCTTCTACTATCTTTTAATTGCAAACTACAAATTAAATTAGATAACTACAACCTAACCTAACACACTCCCTTACAGGCTCGTCGCATCTGTATTTTCAGACCTACAGTACTGTGCAGACAACCCGTCATACATGATGAAGAGGTCCATCTTGGCGCCTACCAACGACGCAGTCAATGCACTGAACGTAGAACTGATAGACCAATTCCCGGGAGACCAGCACGTCTACATCAGTGAGGACCGGACTGAAGACGAGAGGTACCAGGACGATTGCGAAGATTTCCTAAACTCATTGAATCCGAAAGGCTTGTCCCCTCACAAGCTGGTACTGAAATACAACAGTCCCATAATGCTCCTTCGTAATCTGAACCCGACAGAAGGTCTCTCGAACGGAACTCGATTGCTGTGCAAAAAGCTGGGAAGGCACACAATCACAGCCGAGATCGCTTTAGGACCGCACACAGGCAAAAAGGTGTTCATCCCAAGGATCCCCCTCAAATGCGACGACATCGGCGTACAGGGCATCGCGTTCAAGAGGTTCCAATTCCCCATCAAGCTCTGCTTCGCAATGACCATCAACAAGTCACAAGGACAGACGCTCGAATACGTCGGCCTGTATCTGCGCGAGCCGGTGTTCTCGCATGGACAGCTGTATGTCGCCCTATCCAGAGCGAAGACATCCAAGTCAGTGAATGTCCTAACAATGCCTCCTACGTTGGACGAGGTGTTGCAGGACTACAACAAGACTCGAAACGTGGTTTACAAAGAGGTCTTCGACCTCGCCGAACAGTAGGAAATATCACGACACAAGTGTTTTTATTTTTTTAATTATTGAATTCTTTAGTCCTTCACCACCTACATATTGATGTTTCTTTTAAAACAAATAGTACAGACAAAAATTTATTACCATTACGTTTATTCACAAACATACCTCACAATATGTTATTCATCACAAATTAATCTACACTATTAACTACAAATATAGATACAATAAGAAATAACGAGATAAAAGTAAAGATCAAGCATGAAACCACATTGCAACTTCTCACTCAAAAGAAAACACAACTCAGATCATCTTCTGAATTACTTTACCCATAATAAGTCACTGACATCATATCAACCCCATCTGACGGATGAGATCGATTCGATAGTGGTCCTTGAATATTTCTTGCCTACTGTGCCTTTTATGCGCGACCGAATTGGAACAATATGTTCTTCATCACAATTTAATCTACACTATTAACTACAAATATAGATGCAATAAGAAATAACAAGATAAAAAAAGTAAACAACAGATAAGAAGACTGGTCGCGCAACGCGCGACGAAAAAAGCCTAATACTTGATATAGGGTTTAGTATATTCGATGCCCTAATTTTTTTTTATTATTTATAAATTTGGTTTTTTTTTAAAAAAAATAAAAATAAGATGGGACATCCTGTAACCTCATCTCGCTTTTGGGTTTTTGACTAGTATATACCATCAGTATTAGCTTGAAAGCACGGTACACAATATGGGAAAAAAAATTGAGACGACATTTTTTTTTTCAATGACTTAATGATAATACTTGCAACCAAAACAAGATTTGTTTACTTTTTTTTAAAGGTACTTGTACGTAAAAATTAGGTATATTAATTAATATACTTGGTATAGTTACTAGTATGCCTGTCAGTGGCGAAGGCGGGGGACCAGTAGGGGCTGTGACCCCCCTTCTCCAATTTTTTTTTTTAATAAAGAGAAGGTTTATTTTTCTAGTACAATCACGACAACAATAAAGGCCTATTAATACCCTTATTATGGGACACTTTTCTTCAAAAGTGTCTTATTATCATATAATAGGACATTTTCTAGAAAAGTGTTTCATTAAAATTTAACAAAGTGCCTTTAACATAATAATACACAATTAGTAAGTGTCCATTTTAGTTTTGTGTCCTATTAAATTATTTAATAGGACACTTAAAAGTGTGTTAAAATATAACATAAAGTAGTCACTTTATAATGTCCTATTACAATATTTAATGTGACACTTAAGAGTGTACTATTGCAAAATTTATTGAATGTGTGGAATACATTTAAATGGGATTGGTTTTTAATTTGTTTTTTAATTTTAACTTTGAGATTTTCTAATGTTTAAGTAGTATAAAACTAATTATTTTAGAACAAAAAATAGATTTTTTTAGTGTTCTATTGCTAAATGCAAGGAAGAAAAAATGTTTTCTTTCCTTGAAAACGCATACTAGGGTTACCGTAACCGTAAAGTCTGTAATTCTGCCCGACTGGGAACAAAGAAAAAAAAAGGA